AGCAGACCCTGCCCTCGCCCGAGGGTTTGCGCTGGTGCCCAGTCCTCACTCATGGCCTCAGCCCGGGGGTCCCCACGATGCCCGCAGCCCCCGTCTGCACGCGCGGAGCTGGTACAGCCACGCAGAGGCCATTTTTAGCCCAGCTGTGAAAAGGCAGCTAGCCGGAAAGAATCCCAAACAGCTTCAGTCCAAGTCTGAGCTTCTCCTACCCCTAGGTACTCTGTTAAAAACATACCGCCTGGGCCTGCAGCATCTTGATGTTCCTCAAAAAGAAAAAAAAAAAATCATCCAGCTGCCTTGCTAGGTTGGAGGCATTACTTTAAAACGCTCTTTTCTTTCCTCCGGTGCCACAGTGCAGTGGTTCACATCAATAGCCAAGCTAGCCATTCTTCCCAGAGAGTACTGATGTCCAAGCAGCATATGAGCCGAGGTGAACTGATTCCTACAGCTCCATGGATCACTGGAGCACTCTGCCTCTGTTAGTAAGTCGGCAGATCCGCCGATTGTATCCTTGTTCTGTCCTGACTTCAAAGGGAAGATGCAGCCTAGGAGCAGAGCAGGCAACTGAAGGAGTTGTATTTGTGACAAGGGAAAGCACCTTGATGCATCAGATACGTAGGATCTTAACCCACTTATTTTTATTAGTCAGCCCCATCTATAACCTGCTGAAACATATGCACAAGCAGTTTGTCCCTTACCTCTGACATGTATGTAAAATTCTGCTTGAATCACAAGGAGCAGCGATATACATAAATTCAATTTGGGGCTGGCTTGTGCCTTTGCTGATAATTATTTTAGAGGTGAGAAACAGATGAATGGGATGGAAGAGGAGAGCTGGAAGAACAGTGCAGCTGGAAGGGACCTACAATGATCCAACTGCCTGACCGCTTCAGGGCTGACCAAAAGTTAAAGCATGTTACTAAGGGCATTGTCCAAACGCCTCTTAAACACTGACAGCCTTGGGGCATCGACCACCTCTCTAGGAAGCTAGGAAGCCCGTTCCGGGGCTTGACCACCCTCTCAGTAAAGAAATGCTTCCTCACGTCCAGTCTGAACCTTCCCTGACACAACTCTGAGCCATTTCCAACAGTCCTATCACTGGATCCCAGGGAGAAGAGCTCAGCACCTCCTTCTCCACGTCTCCTCCTCAGGGAGCTGCAGGCAGGTTGTCCCTCAGCCTCCTTTTCTCCAGACGAGACAAACCCAGCGTCCTCAGCCACCCAGGACATGCCTTCCAGCCCTGTCACCAGCTTGGCTGCCCTCCTGCGGAGGCATTTGAGTACCTTCACAGCCTTCTTAAATTTTAAACGCAAAGTTACACGTTACAGTTGGGAAAACCTAACAGCCACTGTTCCCAAAGGCTAAACCATTCCTCCTCTTTGCCTCTATCTTGCTCCTGGTTTTTTGTTCCCGTGTGCTTTGCTGAGCCTGCTCAACTCGCACGCTGGCAGAGCGCTGCTAACTTCTCCCTGGGTTCACAGGTTGCACTGTCTCCATTGAACATGAGAGCTCACGCAAACAGAGGTGTGTCACCATCTTCAGAGGTGTGTCACCATCTGCCTGCAGCAGGAGGCTCCTCTGGTCTTGGCCACCGGAGCCGATGGGCAAGTTCAGCTGCAACGTGCAAAGTCACCTGCAAACTTGTTCTTGGCGAGACTATCGGGTAACATTCAGTTACAAACATATCAAATTGCCTTCTCTCCACTGCAAACACTGAAGTTTAGCAGACATTAAATCATTCAAGCATTGTACAGCGCGATTTACTTGCAGCAGAAAGAAAACATTCTCCTGATACACACTTCACCATCGAAGCTCATTTATCACTGCCTGAGAATCGAAAGACTCTGTACTGTCATCTAGCAGAACGAAAGGGTTTATACCAGAAATTTGTATTTTGGGCAAAACTTTTGGCACTCCCTCCCTCCCTGACTTCTGCTCTAAAGAAATTAATAAGCAGCACTATCTAACTAGAGCACCAGAAATGGAAATGGTTGGCTCAAGCAGCTCAGGCAATTATGGGACTGAAAGTCAAGAACAGCATCAAGAGCAACCCAATCCGGCTGGTTGCGAGTAATCTCTACACATTCACAGGCAGCCAGACAAACACTCAAAAATGAGTAGCAAACTCATGTTCTTCTTGCTGGTGATCAACTGAAATGAGAATTTTTTTAGAAACGATGATGAGATTCCCAAGTCGGGGTGGGGGGGTGGGGAAGTCTTTCATTCTACATAAGAATAGCTGTACCATATTTTAGTGTTTTTACCCTGTTCTAGTGTTCTACCACCTGCACAATATTTTTTTTTTTAATGGTCATATGGAATTGTCTCTTGCCTTGTCACTGGGCATCACTGAGAAGATTTTAGCTCCATTTTCTTTATATCCTTCCCATGCAGGCAGGAACTTTTCATATTTATGTAAGATTTATCATTATGGCATCTGGTCCCACTAGCTGAAAAAAAGCATCGTTTATAACAAAAGAGAAAGCAGATTACCTATATGGTTGAGCAAGTTATTGTATGTGGCTGACCACAGTTGCTTTGGTGGATGCAATTAGCATATCTCAAAGCATCCAGGAAAACCAGGAATATAAACTGGGCCCACACTGTCATCCAACTTTTCACTAAAAGGAGATATGGCAACACTGGCAACTGTATTTTACTCCATTGTGCAAGTCAGTTCTGTAGGTAAGATTTATCAAGAAGAGTTAAAACAAGACACGGGATATCATACCCAAGAAATACAACCTGAGCATGAACCCACATATTTAGTTGTTATTCTTGTGTCATTTTACTAATCCATGTTTCCTCAACACAAACTCCCATAATAATGTATCGAATTTGTCATTTGGGTTATGTCCAAAACCCCACTCTCTAAGTTAGAGCTGACGGTGATTGCATCGGGGTAGGTAGATAGGAGTAAATTCTGTTTTCAGCAATTCTGGGGAAGAAAAAAAAAAATTATCTTACTACACATGCACTGTCTCCAAAAATTAAATTATTTTTTCTCACCTGTGATGGTACACTTCTGTGAAGACCGCATTAAGGACACCTAAGCTATTCTGACATGCCATTTAGTATACTCAATTTTATTTCTACACAATTTGACACAAAGTAAGTAATTTTTATAATACAGTTTGTCATGAAAACTGCTTAATAGGACACAAAAGAAGCAGTATTACTTGGAAAGATTGTCTGCCTTTCAGCACTAGCAGTTACAACAGAAGAGGTCCCATTATTGTATAATAGCATATTTTTGTAGAGGCAAGGGATTACAGAAGCAGCAAAACTCCATAGGAAAAAAGCATCATGCTGTTCCTTATCAAAGCTACAAAAACAAAGCTAGCGAGGAAAACAAGTTCTGCTTTGTTGAAGGTGCAACATTGACATTTAAAGCCAAGAAGATAAAAATACAGAATTTCATATAAGACAGTTATGAGGTAAGTTTTAAAATGAAAAATCCATTTTATGTTTAACACTATCTAGGTATCATACGATAGAAGAGAACAATACATTCTCAAAACCAGAATATGAGTTAAGTAATATTACCAGTACGGGTAAGACATGAGTACACTACTGTGCTATTCATTCCATAATTTACAAGTGTTAATAAAGCCCCCCAAAAAATCTTTTTCTTAGGTTTGTTTTAGAGCTAGGAACATAAAGGCAGAATGGTTAACAGCTTGAATTCTAGAAACATACAGAGTCTCTAAAAATCAGGCCGTTAGATTTTTTTTTTTTTTTTTTTTTTTTGTCCCTACACCACAAAGGAGCAAGTTTCAAATTCAGGGAAAAAGCTCCAAGTTTCCATTTCTCAGTTCTTAGTCAGAATGAAAGACCCTTTCTTGCCTATTTTTGCCAAACCATATCTAGACAGCTTTCTTTAGACCTAAGTCTGACTCAACTCCTACAACTCACTACCTGTTCCAACCCATATGCTGTGTCCCTACAAGTACCGATAAAAACAATTTGGATGGTTGTGAAAAGAGGCAGCACTGGCAGAAATTAAAAATAATCAAGGAAAAAAAAGAACAAACAGAAGGGACAAAGTGGGTTCAGATGCAGTACCACTTAAGAAAAACAACACAGCATGTCAAGGAGTGCCATAAGCTGCTTTAGCACATGACAGTCAGTCTTCCAGACAAGCAAAAGGCTAACTGAAAGCAGTATCTATTTAAGACAGTAAATATGCCATTACATAATTAACAGCCAAAAGCTTTACTCATTAGTTGTACAGTTTATTTAGACAAAACAAAGGCTTGCACAGTTTTGTAACTGTATACAGAAATGAAAACATCTGAAATATATTAGTTTTTTTCCCCCCAGTATATTTTACTTTATCCTCTGTTCTTGGAAAAGGTGACTTTATTTTCAGGATTCCCTTTTCAGCAGTACATATGCTCCCATTACTGCCAGAAGAGCATACTGCAAAAGAAAGTAGAGAATAAAGACTGATTATAATTTCTCTTCACAGAAGCTCTGAAATTACAAATTGTTCAAAGTGTACCCTCTCCAACGTCACACCTTCTAGATGAATACACAATTAGAGTTGCGTTCTTACAGAATTACAGGAATATTTTAATGTGACCATATTCATTATAAATAGGCATCACAACTGTATATGCTTAACTTACGACATTCCTATAAATTAACCGTTTGCAAATGATTACAAATACTTAGTTCTATTAGGTAACAGACAAGCTAAAACAAGCAAGAAAACACAGCTCCTTTTACATTAGGTACCAAACCACAGAAACAGATTTATTAACATGTATTCTTACATGCAAGATTCTTACTACCTTTACTTGCTATTTTATAGTTTTAAATTCAAGTATGGAAAATGTCTGTATACATACCTTAAATTTTGGATAGTCATTCATTATTATAGTTACCATACCAACATAAGGCAAAAATCTGTAATTGACATAACAGATGAATGTAAAATTAGCCCTCAAATATTACACAGAAACGTTTCAGTGTTACTCAGTCTTGAGTATTTTAGATAATGGATTTCAGAGGAAAAAAAAATTCAGCTAGACAGCAAGAGCTTTAAAGACAATATGTACTTAATGAAAATTTGGGAGCAAGATCTCTCAGATTTCTCTCTCCTCCTGTGCTTCATCTTGCTGTGTTATTATTCATACCATTAAAAAATACACATGGATCCCAGCAATGGCAAGTACGTATCATCATAATGAGGGGTACCCACAAAAGCCTAACATCCTACAACACAGGGGAATCAGCTTTTCAGGGTCTCCTGTTGTTCTGCAGCTATGACAGCCCTATAATCTAACAAGGAAAGGGTTTCAAACTAACAAGGAAAGTATTTAAAATTAGCATTTAACCTAGTCTACCAGCATTAAAGGTTTGGAGGGGCACTTGTTCTGTTTCTTTTTATTTAACTTGAAGACAGGGACAGAATCTTAAAAAAAAAAAAATTGAGAAAATAAATATTCTTGCAGAAAAGTATTTTGTACTGCTATGCAAGTTAACCCTATATTTGTGACAACTTGTGGAGCTCTTAAATCAGGCAAGAAAAGACACAAGTATACAGGGCGACAAGAAGTCCTGCTTGCCACTGGGTTTGGCCCATGACATTAATCCGAGGCTACTGGACAGAGCAGAACTCACTCCATGCTTCTCATGGCACTTCTAGGGCGCTCACGAAACAGACAATACTTTGCCACAGGCTCTAAAGCAGCAGCATTCCAAACAAGAACAGCGTAAAGCAATCATTTATGCTTGTCACTAATGAGTATCTAAATGCAATTTTTTCTCCTCTTAGATAAAAATTTAATCAGATTATTTGAGAAAAATCTTAGAGATTTCATCTCAGCTGGGGAAGGGGATAAAGTCAAAAGCTCAAACCTTGTATAAAATTCCTGTGGAAATAATTTCTTAGTAATTTCTAGCAATTACAAGGATAAGTTGGTTAATTTTTGTATTTACTGGTGAATTATTTGTTAAATGTGCCATTTAAAAAAACAAAAAATTTCCACTCTCCACATCAGTGAGAGAACTACAGAAAGCAACTTCCCAGGTAAAGTAGTTCTTTAAATTATTATTTTATTTAAGAAATTAAAAAAATACCATACCAGATCTAGTTTGTACCAACAGAAGAACTGATTTAAATTCCAAGTTTTCTATTTTAGTTACAAAGAACATAGATATTTTGCATTACTTACCCTCTTGCTCTTCCAACAACATCCTTCTTCTCTAACCAGTTCTGACCTTCTTTGTACAAGCCTCTATCATCAACTTCATTATTATCACCTTTAGTCAGAAATTTGATGTTCCCATTTTCTCTAGAAGGCAACAAGGTGATAAACTAAATACCACTTAATTTAAAAACCTCTATTAATGTCTACAAAGCACAAAGAAGATGAAAAGTGCTACAAGATTAGATAACAATGTTTACTTCCAGTCCTGCCTGTCCTGCTTATTTAACGAACACCATTAACATTACAGACTTTACTGAGAGTCAATGAATTTTAACAAGAAATGCTTTTAAAAACACTCATAGATTTTCATTTGATGTAAGCAATTACACAAGGAACATGAAAGGGATATTGTCCGTCCAGGGCAGGCACCAAACGTCCTCAACAAAAGCAGTATGTGCCTATCTGAGGAAAAAACCCCAACGCTCTGCTTTACCAACAGAATGGATATTTAACTCTGAAATACTGAATACTACCCTATTAAGATGTTCGGGGGTGGTGATGAGGTTTTGTCTGGTTGGATTTTTTCCCTTTACTTGGCTTTTTTTTTTTTTTTTTAATGGTGGAGTAAGATCCTGTGCAGCTACCACACATTAGATAATGAATTTAATTGAATTTGAATCACAAATTTCAGATGAGGTAGACCCTAAACATCTTCCCTTAGGAAAGAAAGTGATATAATACTACAATGCTTTAGGCAATTTTCTTCTAAGTTCTATACACTTGTTTAACTCTTAGTAATCATATGTATGTCAAAATAAAGCTTTGTCCTCCTTTTGATGGAAATAAAAGATCCTCTAAAGTAACTGCAAATCTGCATCAAATTCAGTAGTTTGTCACTAACACTGCAATACAGTTTTTACAGTCATTAATTGTTAAACAATATAGTGAGTTCCAGGCAAAACCTCACTCACATTTGATATTTGTTAATGTGGCAAATGAAAACAAAACAAAACAAAACAAAAAAACCCACAACAACAAAAAAACATGTAACCATTCTTCAAATAACATCACGTGGAGAAAACATTATGTGGGGTTTTTAGGGGATTGTATGGAGAAATCTAAGCGACAGAAATGCCTCAGGAGGTGGGACTCCTCCCTGCCAGGGATGAATGCCTGCAGAGCCGGGCTGCTCCCTCGGAGCCAGAGCTGACATCCTGATCTCTCACAGCCATTGAGGTGGCTCACTCCTTTTTGTAGGAATAGAGGTTTAAAACCCTGAACATGCCCAAATCCTAACCTTTCCCTGCTGTTTCAAATGAACAAAGTATCTTACACAACATTTTGAACATGATATAATTTAACCACTGCTGCTAGAAAACCTGCCATGTTTCGTTCCCTTTCAAGCATTAGGCATATGTGCAGATAATGCATGCAAGACTTCAGTTCAATGCTCTCATTTAAATAAAGTTTACAGTCTTCAAAACTATTTTGCTCAAGAAGTTGCTAATGGCAAGTAATGATATCAAGAAACAAAGAGTTTTTATGATGACAAATTAGGTAATAAAAAAAAGTGGTAATTCTTGGATATACGCATTTGTTTCAAAAAATGCACTTGAAGAACAGATATTACTCAAAAGATAAACACCTTCAGTTCACGGCCAGGACCACCTCCTAAGGAGCAAATATGTCAATGCTTGCCACCTCCAGGTTAGCTTTTCGCTGTGCAGAATTGGAAACAGAATTGCCTCTCTCTGTTTGAGAACTGATATGCAATAAAGGTAGATACAAGTAATCTACCTGTTGCTTTTCAGCATGAATTGTTGTTGGCATTGTCACTAACAGACACAAAAAGAATAAGAATCTCTTCTTTCATTCCGAGTCAAATCTCTTTTCTGGAAAACTTCAGTTAGCAAAGATCACACACTCGTCAGACTTCATCTATAGTTCTGATTCTGAATCCTCAGCTTTCAGAGATTTGCTTTTAGAAGTAGCTATTTTTCATAACCAAAAGCCCCAATTCTACAACAGTCTGTACAGAAGTGGACCCTGCTCCCACACATACTGCTAATGCTGGCAAAAACAACCTGTATGGCTTGTGTTACCAGACTCCTCCTTGGCATAGGTTTACCTAGTTCAAACCTGAGCAACTGCGCTGAGGCACAGGCGCCAGGGTCTCAAGAAGCGCACCACAGAATTGGGGACAAAAGCGGATCACATCCTAGAGATGAGTTTTATCTTACAGCGTATCCTCACTTGCCTTTTTCATAAAATACTACCAAATCAAAATGTGAGAGTCATGGTGAAGGAAACTATATTTAGAAACAAGGAAAAATGCCAAGTTGCATTACTTTTCATGTATTTTGATTACTCTGTGAACTATTGGAATGTCTCTGCCTTCAACTTTAAAAACAACTATTTCACCAGCTCTGATTGGGTCATCATGGAAATTTGTTAAGAACAACAGGTCTCCCCTGTGAAAAGCTGGTTCCATGCTGCCACTACAAATGAAAAGAAAGAGACAGATTATTAGTGTTATGGTAAATGGAGAACCATAAAAACAAATAATATTTAATTCTTACAAACTCATGATTTTAACTGAAACCTGTAGCTTCACCCATTCAGTGACACTACACAGACATATAACACAACCCCAACCTCAGCAAGTCCCAAGCTGAGCCAGCCTATAGAATACTTTCTTACTGCCTCAGTAAGGAGGAAATAAGCTGTACAGAAAAGGAACAGCATTGTAGCTATGAGGAAGGAACAAAATGAGCCATGAGCCATTCTTGTTAAGAAAACCAATCCATTAGTGAAAAGCAAAAAAAAAAAAAAAATTCACAGTACAAAAGGAAGTACTTCTCTACATAGAAAGAATTTAATTAACATGAGCAAGAGTTATGTTTACATCAGTGATTACTAACGACCAGAAAATCCATGCCTTTTTTCAAAGCCTGCCATAGTATCTTTTCATAACAACCTTTAAGGTAGGATTCCAGATGCCATAAATAACAACATGAACAGATGATTCCCCGTAACTGTTAGCTACTGCATACATTCCTTCCTGACACACATTCAATTTCTGTAAGGCTGAATCTTCCATGAGCATGTGTTTAGCTTCATGTATTTGATCAGCGCTCGAGGACCTGCAGGACTGGCACTTTATATACCACGTATCTACTGCTTCTACAAACTTCAATGAAAACTAGACTGCGATTATGAAAGCAGCCTTTGCTAAGTGTCCAAAAACAGAAGGAAAAAAGTGTTTGAGTACTTCTTTAAGTAGATGAAATGTCAAACTCCAAATCTACCCAGGGGGGAAGGAGAGGAGACAAAGGACAAAACAATATTTGGACTTTAACAAAAAAGCCTTTACATTGACTTACCTGAGCACCACAACAATAGGGCTTTCACTTCCAGTAATGACGATCAGCCCTTTCCATATCATAAGGGCAGAAGACACTATCATAGCAAAATTTAAGACTTGGTAATACAGCTATATGAAACAAGAAAATTGTTTTTAAAAGTTACTGCATTGTATTTCGGAGCACAACGTAGACATTCAACCCATATGCGACACTGAATCACAATCCAGGCACATGGACTTCTACGCTAAAATCATATTCCAACAGAAGCCACATGGAACAGATTGCTGTATGGGCAATCCAATCATACTGCAGCCTAAAGTTTTAACCCATTGTGTGCCTCAACTTTGGCTTATTATGCCTGTGCAATATTCCCCATTTTTAGTGCTAGAAGCTAGTGAACTTACTAGCACAGACTTCTAAACTACAGGAAGCTATATGGCAGATGATCAAATCTATTTTGATCGCATGTCCCTGACTCCTACCTGAGCTCTTAAAGTATTCAAAACACACATAAGAAATACTGTAGGATCAGTAACAGCAGACATTCAACAGTTATTTTTGTTTAAAAAGAGGAGCTGGGGGAGTAGAAGAGGGACGACAAAGGACCATTTCTTGCTATTATCAGACAGAAATTTCTTATGTGGAAAATCTTTTATGAATTTGACTAACTTTCTGCCCCAAAATTCTGTTGCTTCGCCAGCCATTGTGGCAATGGATACACTTTCTTCATCCTACTTCTTTTTTTTTTCCTCGGCAACATACGAAGATACTCTGGTGGAAAATGACCCTGCCCATCTCCATTTATCATGTGGCTCACTAATGTAAAATATGGAACCAGAAATTTTCAGACCATCGTTCTAGTTTGAGAATACATATGCTGGGATTTTCAGGTGTACGACCCACTTAACTTAGCGCTGGTCAAGCTTCAAAACCTGCTCCGAAGTTTTTGTGGATTTTTTTTTAATTATTAATAGATATTAAAAAAAAATAAACAACAAGGGAGGGTTCACAACGTGGAAATCAGGTTTTTCACCAGTGTTATATTCTCCCTTCCAACCAAATAACTTCCAACCAAAATAACTATTTGCATAATCGCATAGTAACGATAAAATAAAGACATCTATTCTGAACTACAAGAGCTCAAAAATGCCCCCTTGTTTCCACACGCTGCACCTCCGGAACGAAGCCAGGTACGCACAGGAACGTAGAAAGACGGTTTCCCAGTTAAGCCTCGGACCCGAAGCCCCCC